ACGAGGGTGTGAATGAGGGTCATTAGACTCAGAATAAGAGTCACGAGGGTCAGAATAAGGGGTCACAATGGTCAGAATAAAGGTCACGAGGATCGGATTAAGGGTCATAGGGGTCAAATTAAGGGTCGTGAAGATCAGATTAAGGGTCACAAGGGTCGGATTAAGGGTAACGAGGGTATAATGATGGTCAGATTAAGGGTCACAAGGGTCAGAATAAGGATTAAGGGGTCATATGTGGGTCATATGGTGGTTGGCGAGCGGCGCAAGCAGGAGGTGTAGCCCCCTAGTTTTATCATAAAAAGGAAAAATACCAATGCTGTTCCTAGTTACATAGGGATATTGTGACTTAATTTTTTTTTTAATTGCTATTTCAAAAACTACTTGATCGACTGAGCTGAAGTCGATCAACGATTATAAGGCTTCTTTTCGGAAGCAAAAAACAACTTTTTTTTTATCCCCATGAATCCCCAGATATTACACAAATTAATTTAGTAATATCTTGCAAACTGCTAAGGTAAAATGGACCTTTTCCTTATGTAGGATGAAATTTCCTTACCTGTTCTTGCAAATGCAAATGAAAGATTAACCTTTTATTTTTATATTATATTCTCAAACTGAAAGATGAATGAGTATTTGTAAGGATGCCATGGATATTTTGTAAAAATATCAACAAAAATGTATTATTTTTTACTGATGCAGAACAACATATAAATCAATCTGACGGAATTACATCAAGAAAGCATGGGATTAAATGAACACGAAATATCTCTCTTATCTGCCACGGTCCCCCTTTTTTCTGCTATCATCGTATTCAACACATTATTCTCTATATAACTCCAAATTTGTTTAAATCGTTAATATTTTAAGGGAGAGTAATGTACTTGAATGGAGAACTCCGCAAGAGCTGGTGCATAAGGGAAAATAATTGAATTTCTCGATAACCTTTCGATTTTTGACGTGGATACGTTTATGTTTTCGATAGGGCGGTCATTCCGAACGTGCCTACTGACTGCCAGCGCCCCTGGTGGCCGGCGCCCAAACTAACGCGCGTCTTTCTCTCTCTATATATATGGGCCATTCCGCCAAATATCGGCGGAAATCTGGCCTCAAAATTTTCGACAATTTTTTTTTTGCTTCTTCTGAGTTCTTATGTATATAAAAGAAGATTTTTCAACGCGTAAAGGTCCCGCGGCTCAATTAGAGGCCGTCCGCATGATTACGAGTTTTAGACTTGAAATTTTTCGCTCTTATAGAACGTATTAAAAGATGCTAAGAAAAAAAAATCAAAATTTAGTTTTTGATCGGAAATTTTCTGAATTTTCCGAAAATGATGTTCATTTTCTCCCTTCACCCCTCCTCCATCGTGAAAATCGAGAAAGAAAACTCTAAACGTCATTTTTGGCAAATTCGCCATTTTTTTTCAAATCTGATATTTTATCTCAAAAATTCAGAGAATTTCCGATCAAAATCATACTTGAAACTTGTTCGCTCCTATGATGCTCATCTGCAGAAAAATGATTCTAAAAAAGCGAATATTCGAAAAATAATAATATTGTAGGAAGAAGACGATATTTCCATAGAAGATGATGATATAGAAAATAGAGAATGTTTCCATGAAATATGGTCTTGTTTCTATGATATTCATCATTTTTCGAATATTCATTTTTTTGTCTGTTATTTTTCTTTACTTGAGCATTATAGAAGCGAACAAGTTTCAAATATGATTTTGATCGGAAATTTTCTAAATTTTTCAAAAAAAAATATTAGATTTAAAAAAAAAATTGTGAATTTGCCAAAAATGACGTTTAAAGATTTCTTTTTCGATTTTCACGATGGAGGAGGGGTGGGGGGAGAAAATGAACATCATTTCCGGAAAATTCCGAAAATTTCCGATCAAAAACTATGTTTTGATTTTTTTTTCTAAGCATTTCTACGAACGTTCAATTCGATTGAACAATTTTCGCGTAAAATCGTTAAACCTTGCGCAGCCCCTCCAATTAAAAGACGGGACCTTTCCTAGTCGAGAAATCTTTTTTCTATACACAAGTAGTACAAAGAAGCAAAAAAAAAAGTATCGAAAATTTGGAGGCCAGATTTCCGCCGATATTTGGTGACATGGCCCATATATAATATCGACGCTGCATGCGTAGTCAGCTGTTGTCAACATTGTATTTCTCGTCTGTTGTTTACGCTGAATATTCCGTGATGCCGTACCGATGTAAAATTCCCAATTGTGCAAAAGAATCGAATCACACTTTTTTTTTTCTTCTCCCAATCTATTGATTCTGTCCAATGACACGCACATTTTAATTACTCATTACGACAGCAGAGGACTGCGGTTTCCCCTCTGTCACATAGACGTATCCACGTAAAATCACGGCTGTACAAAGCTACAGCTACCTCAAATTTTTTTTTATTATCGTCAATATCTGTTCCGTGCTAAATGTTATTGATTAGAAAAAGCTAATTTGTACAGCGAGCATTGAAAAAAGTTGATTTTTAAGAATTCCTTGACATCCTTAATTCGAAAAACTCCATGTTTGCATGTATTGGAGAAAAATATCTGCAGAATGTCGAAAAGTGTTCAATACATCATTCTTAGAAAGCTTCTGATATAATACCTTCCTGGTATAATACCGTCTTATCATAATACTCTTACCAACTGAGCGCTCCAACTGGAGATGTGGAATGACCGTAATTTTCTCTTTCGGTCAGATGAAATGTAAATGACCGGTTTCTGACCGTTTCCTGACCCTGATCGAATTTTGTATGCAAAATAACCGTGAGTGTTAAGCTGCGTCAAATACGAGCCAAAATGATCAACAATCGTCTATATAATAGTTGCAAATTGACCGCCATTTTTATTTCAGTCATTTTTTGGATAATTTTTAAAACGTTCGATCGGGAACCTTTTTAGTTGAATTGAATTATTATCATTTATTATTTTATTTATCAACTAGAAGGCTACACCCCCGCTCGTTACGCTCGCCAACCCACATGATCCTTATTCTGACCTTTGTGATTCTTAATCTGACCCCCCTGACCCTCATTATACTCGTCGTGACCCTTATTTTGACCCTTCATTTCTGATTTTTAATCTTGGAGTCTTGATTTCGAGCACCAAATTTTCATCACCAAAAGTCGATTGGGATTTTTATAATATAGAGAGATATTGAGACCCTTATTTTGACCCTTGTGACCCTCATTTTGATCCTTAAACAGGCCCTCATTATAACCCTCGTGACTCTTATTTTAACCCTGGTGACCCTTAATCGGATCCTTGTGACACTTATTTAGTAGATTCTTATGAGCCTTATTCTGACCCTCATAATCCTTATTCTGACCATGATCATTCATTTCGGAGTCTTAATTTCAAGTATCAAATTTTTATCACCAAAAGTCAATTTATTATTTTATTTATTAACTATTATCAATGGCCAAGTTTCTCATACACTGTTAGAAAAAAATGAAATTTCTGATTTCACGGTTTTCTATTACTTTACGGAGAACAATTGAACTAAAATTTACAATTCGCATTGATTTTTCCCCGAAATTCAGAATTTTCAATGACGAAATTCCTTGAAATTTCAGTGAATCTTGAATGCGATAAAAATTTTCGAAAAGTGTACTGGAAATTTCAACCAAAAATTTTTAACAGTGTAGAAATCGCTGGACTAGTACTCGAAAATTGAGGGTCATCTGTATTGATGGAAATTGACGGTTAAAATTTATTCAGTCGTTTCATGCTTATGGCCAATCGTCATTTTTTTCTGACAATATAGTCAGATTCTCGACGCAGTAATTACCGGTGATGATGGTCATTTTTATAACCCACATCTCTAGCTCCAACGCCGAAAATCCACCGCAAGCCATATAATTTGTGCTAGAAATGGTCATTGACATGTTTGAAATTCTCAGTAATAAATTCCTCTAAAACCTTGAATGCATTTGAAGAAATTTAGCTGTGGAAGCTCTGAGGAATTCATTTTTTGAGATTTACGAGCCTTGAAATTTCCGCCGCTTGGAGAAAACTCGGTCTTTCATTCCTTCAGTTGGATTTTATTTTTAACAGTGCACCTCCGAAAACCTCGCCTATTTCATGTTCTCATTTCATTCAACACCTCCAGCAACTCAACTCTTCAAACAAAGCACGGAACAAACAGCTATGCTTGTAATTATTTACAAAATCTGTACCCGCCAGAAAGTCTGAGGAAAAAATTAGCGTATACACCTATTTTTACAAAAAAAAATCTCCTATTCCTGTACACAAAGCCCCTTGTTTTTATTCGGTGCGGAATAATAATGAAAAGGAATGGATGGCACATTCATGAGCACAAGTACTTTGTGCATTGTGCAGAATGCGCGAATAATGGAAGCACACGAAACGTGAAAAAATACCTTGTAACAAGGCGCTACATTACGACTAAAATCATGCATTTTGTACTTTCAAATAAACGCCAAGACAAAAAATCTACAAAACCTCGAAAAAAAGAATACGTAGTGTTTCCCGTTTGTATTTGAATTTTTATCTCTCTTTCTAGAGTATTAATCCCGTAATTGCTTGAACGTAACTCACAAAACTTTGAGAAAAATCTTTCAGCTCATCAGTAAAACAAGCGGACTTAAATAACAATCCTTGACACAAAATATTCATCATTTCACAAATCGCGATAATATAAACTCTATTGTTCAAGAAGAACTGAGTCAATGTCGCAATTCCGAAGGTGGTTTCATTGTCACGTACATCCAACAAACAACTTGTACACAAATCTGATTCAATTCTCGTGGGATTCAAGTTTATGCATTTCCCCACTCTTAATCCATTCAATGCTACAAACGAAGCGTGTACGAGTGTAGTACATAATCTATGCTGTGCACCTTGACGTGCAACTAACCCCAGGATATTTACCCAATTAAAAAGTAATTGTTCGATTTTATCTTTTACGTGACAGTAAAATCTACATTTTCAATGTATAAATTTATTTTTTCAACAAACTCACCTTACGCTCTCGTTGTCTCTTACAATAATCTCACATTCTCTTCACCTCTACCCTACTGATAACGCTGATAAATTCATCAATGCTTAAAAAAACAGCCTTGCCTGTTCCCACAGAAGGGAAATTGTCGAATTGAAGCCTGTGTCTTCAGGTGCAGAACACCACTTTCTCAAAATATGCAATTTGCCGCACACGATTCCCCCCCAATTCTCATTTTCACTTTTCTCCGCAACTGAGGTGCACCGATAACCCTTTACGTTGTGCATTGATTTCCCACCGTATCAGCATCACTATTTTTACACACCTGCTAAACTCATTAAATTACCTGTCGATAAAAGGTAAATATTATTTTTCCTCCAATTCACCACTTGTATGTTATACCGAACCGATTTTTTAACAACGCGTACCATATAGCCACATGTTGATGTATACCTGAGTCCCTTTCCGACTGGGAGATTTAACTATAGATATTGAGATCATTGGATATACGTGTGGATAAAAAGATAATCCAATTCACGTGTTAAATATTTAATCACTAATTCTTGATAAACGATTATTATCGGTCGTATGCACCACGGGAATACTGATTGTACGTGAAAGGTAAGAAAAAAAATGGTTGCTCCAAAAACAATGAGCCAAATGGAGTGCAAAATATACTCCTTCTTTACAACTCAACCGCTCGAGGCCAACTGGCGACTGACAGTCGTGATCCACAGGCGCAACTGCTGCCACCGCCATCATCACTACTACAACTAAAAAAATCAGAAAGCCCAGAGAACACCGATATGTCCCTCCTGTTACTCATCTACTGTGTTCTCTCGCCATGGGGAACACCCATGGATTTTCTTTATTTTGTTTACCAAAATATTCCATCATTTACCTTCCATGATATAATACTAGACTAGACCGCGCTAAAGGGTGGGGACGTCACTCCCACCCATTTACAGGGATATATAAATGCATTGTTCAGCGCGGTGAAAATTACAGAATAGAAAGGTTTAAAGGAAAATTCAATTTGGAGTTTTGCAATTGGAGAAAATTTTAATTTTGATTTCCACAATGGGCGCCTTCGGGAGTCTATCGCCTTCTTCGTAGTGGGTCTCGCTTAATAGGAGCAAGAGAGATGGCGAGTGAGTTGGGGAGAGCTAGCGCTCCAGTTATTGATTTTGGGTAACACAATAAACATGGGATTATTCAGAGGCGATTGAACTAGACACATGCTATAAAAAAATGTATTTTTCTCAGACTCGTCCAGGCTAGCGCTCTATATTTTATTAATAATATTTTATTAATAAATGAGGGTATGGTGACATTGTCTTCTGATTCGTGACGACAATCAATATTCTGAAAGGTATTAAAAACAATTCTTAATGTATATTATGAGTGGCGGAAAGAATTGTTGCATATGAAGGATAATTATGGATTACGTAATGAACTTTATTAGGCCGCATCAGCTACTTTTTCATTGCTTCTTCTTCTCTACGATTATCTTGCGTCGATAAGGCAGGTACTGAACGCCCAAATATCATCCTCAGGATTAAATTTTTAAACCTACTGAGGAGATAATACCGAACTCAAGTGCTATAATTCTTTTCACTGGTGGTACGTCTCATCAACTATCAATGATTTTTCTCGAGAGGGAATTAATGCAGAGGAAAGCTAACAATTGTAGATCACGAATGTTCTTCAATATTACCAAGAGTATAACTCTGCACCATTTGAGCTCCTGTTATATACAGGGTGTCCCAAAATGAAATGTCATCATCAAGCGAAAACTAACATTATTTTTCCCTTCAATGCTTTGTTTAATTGTTGTCAAATAAAAAAGAACCGACTATCAAATGTTTTTCCCCGTTACAGAAATCATATCGTCTTCTCCATTCAATGGGGTCAGGCGAAGGCATTGGATGTCCTATCGATTTCAATCAGTCTCATCCATCGATATCGAATGAGAGAGAAGATATAGATTTTTTTACGTGGACTTCGATTTTCAGAGTTACATCGCGTGTTGAACCCAAATGGCTCTTACGTCACTGTGAATTTTTTCGCAGTTTTCTCGTCCTGTTTTGGCAATAGAGGAACAAAAATTCATTATGATCTATTGCGCATTGAATACTCAATCGATTGCCATCTTTTCCATTCCTCCATCTCAAGTGACTGAAAAGATGTGCATTTTTCATCTCACTGGCCGTCAAACGCCGTTTACAGACATTGTGAAAAAACATTAATTTTGTCATTCAGACCGTCCGCCAGCGATTTACGAACGCGTAGCATTCTACGGCCGGAATGACAAAATAGTATCTTATATCATAAGGTGATAAAAGTATTATCTGGCGAATGTGGCTTTATAAAAATCCAATAGGAAAACCTAGGGAATTAGCTAGAAAATTCTATTGGAATTCTGGAGAAAGAAATTCAAAATCTATTGACTTTTCTGTATGAAATATGCAATAGAATCAGCGCAAAAAACTAATAGAATTTTCCAATAGAATTCCAATAGAAATCCCATAGAAATCCGATAGATTTTCTCCAGAATCCCAATAGAATTTTCTAGAGAATTCGCTAGGTTTTCCTATTGGATTTTTCCATACGTGTCAGCATTGCGCTACTAACCTGAATCGGAAATAATGGGTCAACGGCAATAACGTCATTATTTCCAATTACCCTTTTTTATTCCAATAGAATTTAAGGAGTTTTTTTCACCAGGGAGCGAAGCGAGGTTAGAATCGTGGTTTATCGGGCCTTATGACTTAAAATATCTTTCGACATACGGCCTAAAAAAACTTTTCTAGCTCATATGATTGCAACCCTCGCCTTCGGCTTGGGCTACAAACTCATATTTGCCAGAAATTTTTTTTTCATCACGCTGTGACGAAAAGTGAACTAATTTCCTAAGTGCCTAATTTTCCGCCACATTGTGATGAAAAATATTGTTCGTAACTCGTAAAAAAATGATATAAACCTCCCACTCGCCAAAAAACACTTTTTTGCACTCGTTACGAAATATACTATTTTGTTAGTGATGTTACCTTCAGCGAGTGCCGAACTGTGCCATTTTTCGTTTACTAGTAAACGAAAAGGCACTTTTCGGCACGCGGTGAAAGTAGTAGCAGTGTCAATTTTTTTTTTTTCAGCCTTATGGCGAAAATAGCTATTTCACGCAAGGGTGTTTTGCGGCTGATCTTCGCTTTGTTGATCAATAACTCTTAAATAACGCGTCGGAGAGATAAATGTTATCAGAATTTTCGTCTCCAAATGAACCCCCTGAACTACCTTCACGAGGATCACATCTCATTTTCGGACACCCTGTATAGTTTTATGCTCCAATTTTTTATCTTAATGTATGAATTAAATTTGTCGATCAGCAAATGAATGCTTCTATAAATGTCATTCATCCGTAAAACGATGTAAATATTCATTCTTCAAAAAATTTTCAAACCATTTCTTTTTTTTCTTCTTAGCCATAATGGCTAAACGAGCGGTTTAGAATTGAGGAAAAAAAAAACAAAATACCAAAAAAAAAGAACAGAAAATAATTTCAAGCTCAGTAGCCGCCCGTCATCAGGTCTCTTTATTCAAACTATAATCAGAGACAACATATTCAAAAATACAAAAACCATAATTCCTATGACATAATTATTTCACCGAGGACCATCCTCAGTTCATAAATGGAATGAAAAAAAGTTCCAAAAAAGTAAATCATCAAAAGTCCATAAGATGAAAAGGACGACGCAGTGTAAAAAAATAAACAAAATAAAGAAATTCTCATTAAAATTTAATCAAGTTCTTTGTTAGCGTTGGAGATATTGACTCAACTCGGCTTTGCATATCACATTTTGGACGAGTCCATGATTAAAAGCCGTTGCAATGTACCCGACTCATCACATTAATATGACACTTATGAATATTATATAAAGTATGAATCATGCAAAAAAATAAAATAAAATACCTCTACTTCTGGCGATTGAGCAATGCGCGACGTTCTCGGTGGCTTCTCGGGTGGTACTTTCTTGAATGTTCCTGGCGACACAGATTCGGTCATCATTTTCGACGAGATGATGCTGGAAGGCAGTGTCTGTGATCCCGCGGATGAAATCACCATGTTATCAGATAGCATCGTAGGTGCTGTCACCACCGGTGGTGTCTGATATGTCGCGGGATATGACAATGAGATACGTGGCCCTTCAGTTTTTTCGTACTTCAAAACCTCTGACAATCCTGTCTGTGAATTTCTCTCTGGTTCCACATTGTCAGACAGACGCGGTGATAGTTTGTTGGATGACGTTGAGTGACATGTATATGTCTGAAAATTAATGGTTGGTAGGTATGCGTTGGCCGGTAATTGCTGATGTTTTGTCTCGTTTTCCGGTAGCGATGAGAATAAGTGCTCTGGAAGAGTCGTTAGAACTTTCTTTTGTTGAAAATCAGTTGCGTGTCGCAGAGTTTTCTCGGTTGCTTGTCTCTCCTGTAGGCACTGCAGACGAGTGTGAAGATCACTCTGCATGTGTTGAAATTGCGCTACTTGATCCAGAATTTTGTTTTGATTTTGAAGACACTGGAGACGTTGTTGAAGATCGTTCTGTTGTCGTTCGAATTGACTTAGTTTTTCGGAGATAATGTCCAAACTTTGTTGATTCTGCTGAAATTTATGCTGATGTTGTTGGTGTTGATTGCCACTTTTATCCTCACTTTGGCTTTCCAACGAAATCATCTGTAGATTTTCAACGTGACTTTTACTGTGTGTTAACAAATTCGTACTCACGTTATGTCCCTTTTTATGACCATGAATTATGTGATCAGTCTGTTTGAACGCTTTAGCACTGTTATCAAAATCAGTGACAATCGTCAAAGCCATTTTGGTATCGAATGTGGCGTCACTGAGTGCCGGAAATTGATGACAAATATTGGGACTATTGCGTTGAGATGATGCAGTATTCACCACAGGAATGAGATTAGTGATGGATCCGGTGGTGGATTGATCGTCAAATTCCTTTCGTGTGAGTTCCATTTGTTTAGTGAGGTCAGCGCTGACGTGACGTAGGTGACGACGCTGTTCCATTATTGTGTTTTGACTGATATTCGGTATTGGTTGAAATCCCGTTTGTAGACCTCGATGATCTCTGATCCGATGCTCTTCCCCGACATAGGAAGCTCGCAAATCCCTGTGGTACTCGGGTTTGTTTTTCGGTTTAGGACTGGTCGAGAACACTTGACCTTGGTACATCTGTTTCTCGATGTCCTGACGCTGTCGTTGCTCAGCCCAGTTTGCGAGTTCCTGTTTGGTCTTTTCCAAGTTTTGAGCGGATAACAGAGGGGTTTTTTGATTGATGCGGTCGTTTAGCGAGTCCCGAATAGCCATAAATGACATTGGTGAGCTTCTAATATCATCCGAATGCTTGGGATCTGTCGGCATCGGGGAACTTCTTCGGTCGTCAAAGTGCTCCGAACGTCTGTTCTCATGGGAGACGATAGATCTTGTATTCGGACTGACACCACCCCACTCAGACTTTTGCTCAGGTGCAGTCTGCACGTAACTAGTGTCCTGTTGCACATCGGCACCTATCGGAGAAACTCTAATCATCGGCTCTATTCTCCTCTGGTGATCCACACACAATTGATTGTCAGCCCATTGTTTATCCCCAGTTGTTATCGATTTCTTCATCTCCTGCGAATGCTTCG